ACCAAACAACTGGCCAACCAACCAACCAAACAACCAACCGACCGACCAACCAACCAACCAAACAACTGACTGACTGACTGACTGACTCGCTCGCTCGCTCGCTCGCTCACTCACTCATTTATGTTTTTCCAGGTTTCCCTTTGTGTTTCCACACCAAAGCAGAAGTGTCCAAGTTTGTCACCATGTTCATCTACTCGTGTTCGGCGCTGCACGCCGCCGTTAACTTCTCCCAGGTGAGTCAGAGAAGCCAGGTGAAACCTGAGCTATCTCCAGCTTCCTGTCAGGTGTTCGTCTCACCCGTTTCTGCATCCTGCAGCTGGACTTCGCTCTCTGGATGCCGAACTGTCCGGCCTCGATGATGAGACCTCCTCCTCAGGTCAAAGGTCATCTGTCGGAAGCCGACATCATGACCTTCCTGCCTGACGTCAACGCCACCTGCCGGGTCCTGATGACGCTGGCCGTGCTGTCGCAGCCAGGCGTCGACTTTGTAAGACTCCACCCCGCAGGCTCTGCAGGAAGACAAATCAAACGCACCACCAGTTTGTTTGATTTAAACTTTAACTGCTTGTGTAAAACGCTCATTAAGCATTCACACAACTCTTGTCCTGTTTGTGTTTATGATTCTGACTTCTGTCCCTATTCCGTACGTTTATGGTGCGATTCTTGTCTCGCAGTTTTCAACTATTTCAACAAAACGTAAATCAAAACCTTCAGCTCTTTCAGGACAATCCTGCTGTGACTTCTGGGATTGGTGCAACTTTAGCTGTTTGAAATATTTAGCTTTTTCTGACATTTGTTTCCTCACAGAAAATACCATACCATACCACTTTATTTATAGAGCACTTAAAACAGCTACAAGGCCAACCAAAGTGCTGTACAGACAGAACAACAGGTAACACACAGAGCAAAATACAAAATGAGGTAAATCAGAATATAGACATAAAAACGATGCAGATAATGACGACAAACCAGTGTGGAGCATACAGGATCAAACACAGATCATCTGGTGTTGAAAGATACTGAATAGTAGTGAGTTTTTAAACAGGACTTGAAAACTGAGAGGGAGGGGGCCTGTCTGACAAGCAGAGGTAACTCGTTCCAAAGTCTTGGTCCTGCTACAGAGAAGGTCCTGTCACCTCTGCGCTTAAGACGAGTTCCTGGAACTGTGAGGAGCAACTGGTCCGCTGACCTCAGGGAGCGTGGTGGGACATACGGTTGTAGCAGATCAGAAAGATGGGGGCGACACTGTTCAGTGATTTGTAGACATACATGAGTATT